AGAGGGAGGGGGAGAGGGAGGAGGAAAAAGTAATTGGAGAAGGGTAGGGGTTATGGAAACATGTGGTTCATTTATCAAAGTATAGAAAACTGATCAGTAAACCCTTGATTCTATTAATTTTCCATAATATCAGAATTTAAAGGTTAGGGGTCATTGTTCACCTACTCAATCCAAGCAATTAAACAATTTTGAATCAAACTCTGATTTTCTAACCCCCATATCTTAGCAACCTAATGTCGTAAACCTTTGATTTTTTCCAACCTAAAAATTCTGTTAGATCAAAAAGTCTATGTTTAGAAAAACTAAGTGCTTGCTACATCATTTTGCAAACACATAGCAATTAGAATACTTAATTTTGTGGCAAAAACTCAAGTATTTTGCTTCTGAAGTAAAGTCGCTCAGATTACTAAACCGGACAAAGGAATTACTGGAAGATGGGTTGTTTCCTTTTTAAGATGTAGTCCGTTATTTCGCGTTTTAAGATCTGGAATAAATTATTTTATTTATTTATTCATATATTTGTATATTGGGTATATTGTGATATTTATTGTTACTTCTTTGGTTCATATCCTAGTCCGAACTTCACACCCCTGACATTAATATTATTTTACTGTTTCAGTGAATGTCCTGTAGTTCGTGATAATTCCATCCTGCTCAGAGGAGGAACAAGAGTTGGATGCTTTAAAGATTTATCCTCCTCCAGACTCCTTAGAGGAGCAGAGGTGGGTTTAAAGATTCATCCTACTCCAGACTTAGAGGAGCAGTCGAGGTGGGTTTAAAGATTTATCCTCCTCCAGGCTTCTTAGAGGAGCAGAGGTGGGTTTTTAAAGATTTATCTTCCTTCAGACTTAGAGGAGCAGAGGTGGGTTTAAAGATTTATCCTCCTTCAGACTTAGAGGAGCAGAGGTGGGTTTAAAGATTCATCCTACTCCAGACTTAGAGGAGCAGAGGTGGGTTTAAAGATTTATCCTCCTCCGGACTTCTTAGAGGAGAAGAGTTGGGTTTAAAGATATATCCTCCTCCAGACTCCTTAGAGGAGCAGAGGTGGGTTTAAAGATTCATCCTACTCCAGGCTTAGAGGAGCAGAGGTGGGTTAAAAGAGTTATCCTCCTTCAGACTTAGAGGAGCTGAGGTGGGCTTAAAGGTCCATCCTCCTCTAGGCTTAGAGGAGCAGAGGTGGGTTTAAAGATTCATCCTCCTCCAGGCTTAGAGGAGCAGAGGTGGGTTAACAAATTTATCCTCCTTCAGACTTAGAGGAGCAGAGGTGGGTTTAAAGATTCATCCTCCTCCAGGCTTAGAGGAGCAGAGGTGGGTTAAAAAATTTATCCTCCTTCAGACTTAGAGGAGCAGAGGTGGGTTAAAAGATTTATTCTAATCTATAACTTAGGATATAATTTAGAAAAACGTCAACATCTTTACCTTTGTTGCTTAGAAAAAGGTTTAACAGATACCGTTATAAATCGACTACGTCACTCTTTAAATGAAGTGTTGTTTAGAAGTACGTCTGTATAGTTATTCAATTTTATACGTGATAATATACAACTCAGGTTGTCATCACATTGGCACAAAAAGAATCTATAAATAGTAGTTATTACTATAATTTGTAATAAATATAAACTTACTTCTAAATAAATAAAATGGTCGAATTACGACGAAAATGTTTTGTTTTAAAAAAAATTTTAGAAATAAGTTTTGCACATATTTTTCTAGTTTGTCTGGTTCACTTAAAAAGTTTTTGCTGTTTTACAAGAGTACAATTTTTTATTAAAAACTAATTCATGTAAAAAAGCAAGCTATTTTTAGTTTAATGGATATCAGCAAACAATATAAACTTTCATCAATTTTTATTTAATTGACATAATACGTTCATTAGACATAATACATTAGTCGGTTCTAAACTCCATTTAGGAACATATTAATATATAATATATTGAATTATATTGCTGGATTTTTATAAATTGACTCAGAGAAAATATAAATACTAAATATTCATAGATTATAGAATATATATTAGAGGGGAATTTAAAGAATCTCTCGGTATGAATTTTTTCAGTCCCTTTCAGCCTGAAAGGGAGTTTGACGTTTACAAATCATGTAAATTTTCACAAATTATATGCAGTAGAGTACATTAATACAGTATGTTCCCTAGACTTTTCATTTCGATTTCGAATTTTTAAAACTGTTAAATAAACTTTATAATGAATTAGGTGAATAAAAAACATCATTTGATTTATAGTTATCACGGAAAATCATTGTTTGTAAAGTGGAAGGCATAGAGTCTATGTGAAATGATCATTGGTCAATTATAAAACCAGCCTATTTCATAATTTGGTTTTCTTTTAACAATAATTTTAGATTTTCTATAAATGATATTCCAGGGCCCAAAAGGTTATATAGCATAAATATGTGATGTACACCTGCAGTATGGAAACAGTACAACAAAATGGCCGTTTTACACTTTTTTCTAGTACAGTGAAACCCTTAATAAAGAATACATCGAAAGAATTCATCAAATGTCGTATTTTTCACTTTCTGATAATGGAATGTTGCCGATATTTTGTTTTTAATTAAATGATTATATGGAACTCTTTATACAACTGTTCCCGCATATTCATGGCTATTTATTTATTTTCGCAAATACTGAAATTTACGTAATATAGTATAAAACTCATTGAAAAATTGTCAAGACGACATTTGATAAATTATTCCGATGTATTCGTTATTAAGGGTTTCACAGTAAATTCCCCTCTATTAATATATGATAATAATATGTAAATATTTGAATTTTATAAATCAAATCAGACAAATTATAATTATTTGTTTTTATAAATTAACTCAAATAAAGTTTAAATACATTTACCAAAAAGCAAAAATATTATATTTTTTTGAGAACCACAAATAAATTATTCTACTATACAAGAATATTTCTAATATTTTCGAGAAATATCTTAAAGGTCAAAAATAAAATTTTAGACAACAAATATTTGTATAAATGTTTGAAATTATATTTAAGATAAAACGTTGGTCGGAGAACAGCGTAGAGTCCTGTGTACTGAGATGTAATAGTTCTGGATTCAGGTGAACCCGAGAAATATTTATTGACACTGCTCACAGACATTATATATACAGACTGCTAATTAGACTTTCGCATGATCTCACTTACATCTTCCATTGCAGAAACATACTATCTCCTTCTTGCGAAAAGACTGACCAAGTTTTTAACAGTGAATAATTATATTGATGAGAAAGTACAGAAGGCCTTTCTGCCGGGCATTAATGGAACTATTGAGCATAATGTCGTCCTTGAAGAGATTATAAGCCAAGCAAAGACAAACAAGAAAACGGTTCATGTAACATTTTTCGATTAAGAAGATGCATGTGGTTCAGTGCCGCACCCTCTCATCATACATACCCTCAAAAGGTTTAATGTTCCTGCAGAAATTCATCTGTATATATCAACACCCTGTATAATAATCAACTTTCTTGTAATCAACTATCAACTTATCTTTGGAAGCGGTATATCTGAGAGAGAGCAAGCCACTTCTAGCCCTTTAATTTTGATTTTAAGAATGGATTTCTACCCCCAACTCTCAAAAATCTCGGTGCACTTCGCGCCAGATATTTCAGTTATTTTTCCCCTTTGAAAATATTGTACGCTGCACGCCCCTGACTTCATAACAATGAAGATCTGAAGAATATGAAGATCCATGAATTTAGGAAGAAATACTAATAGCTTTATCCTTCGATATTTAATTGTTGTATCTATTGTTTGTTTGTATGTCCAACCATAACTCATGAACCCCTTGACTGATTTGCCTCGATTTTTAATTGTGAGTTCCGTAGAACAACGGCAATAATCTTTTTTTGGTCTAAAACGTTCTAAGTTGAATAGGTTGACTTTTAAAGGGAAAACCTAGTTTCCAAGGACAACTGGGTTTACAAACTAATATTTAATAACCAATATATCCAGGTATGCCGGAGTAGAGTATGGAAATGAATGTTTCTGTGGTGATACCATCCTCGACCCTGAAACTAGTTTTCCTGTTCATCGTTCAAATATCACTAGTCTCCAGGTAGATATTGATACCATACTCGACCTTGAAACAGTTTTCCTGTTTATGGTTTAATATCACTAGTCTCCAGGTAGATATTGATACTGTCTTCAACCCTGAAACTAGTTCTCCTGTTCATCGTTTAAATAATAATAATCTCCAGGTAGATATTGATACTATTCTAGATCTTGAAACTAGTTCTCCTGTTTATAGTTTAAATATCACTAGTCTTTAACCCTGAAACTAGTTTGCCAGTACATCGTTTAAATATCACTAATCTTATTCTCAAGTTAGGTTTAGTACCGTCATCTACCCTAAAACTAGTTCTGAGATTGTTTAGTTCGAGCACTCTAATTGCAATATGATATTGTTTCTAATTGCAATATGACATTGTTTCTAATTGCAATTTGTTATTGTTTAGATCGAGAACTCTAATTGAAATATGATATTGTTTAGATCGATGTCTCTAATTGCAATGTGATATTGTTTTGATCGAGAGCTCTAATTGCAATATAATATTGTTTAGATTAAGGACTCGAATTGCAATATGAAATGTCCGTCTCAAACAGCTAATAGATTCTGTGGAGGATTCAATGCGCTAGGTGAATTAAACATTTTAAAAACAACGGAAGTTTTCTTTACTAATTTGTTTTATTTTTTTCCTAAATAATATAGATTATAATGATTTAAGAGACTTTCAAGTGACATTTTTTGGGCAGATTCTATTCACAATAAATCTGTATCCGGTCAAGGATGACGGGCATATCTATAATTTACTATCTGAAAACAGAGTACCGGAGTCATTTTCTAAGTTAAAAAAGACCTCTCTTGATTTCCGATGGCTCTTTATTTTCAGCAAAATGCAACAAAAAGGGTGCATCCTTGATTTGAGAAGGGATACACTTTAAAAATCAGAACCCTAGTTTTGCTCCACATAGGAGGAGAATATTAACCACACATACTGACACATTTAAAGTTGCTAAGTACAATACTATTTATTCTCCTCTCTGTTCTCCTTATTTAGATTCTCTTTGTTTTTAGTTTTTATTTGTTTAGAAGTATACCTAACCGGAGTAATATCTCCTAAACCTTAACCTTCCCTAGATCAACAGAATTCAGTTCAAATATTTTTTTTGTTTAGAAGTATATCTGGCCGGACTAATATCTCCTAAACCTGAACCTTCCCCGGATCTATAGAATTCAGTTCAAATAGTTTTATTTATTTAGAAGTATCATGACCGAAGTAATATCTCCTGAACCTAAACCTTCCCTAGATCTACAGAATATTCAGTTCGAACAGTTTTATTTGCTTAGAAGTGTCCTGACCGGAGTATTATCTCCTAAACCTAAACCTTCCCTAGATCTACAGAATATTCAGTTCGAACAGTTTTATTTGCTTAGAAGTATCCCTAACCGGAGCAATATCTCCTAAACCTAAACCTTCCCTAGATCTACAGAATATTCAGTTCGAACAGTTTCATTTGCTTAGAAGTGTCCTGACCGGAGTATTATCTCCTAAACCTGAACCTGAGAATTCAGTTCAAATTGTTTTATTTGTTTAGAATTATATCTGTCCGGAGTAATATCTCCTAAACCTGAACCTCCCCCAGCTCTACAGGCTCGTCAACAGAGTTCAGTTCGAATAGTTTTTCTTCTCACACTTTCAGGAATGTATCATTCAAAGGAATTGAGTCTTTGCCACAAACTCTGATTTTCCAATCCTTATATCTTTACAACCCTACGTCGTAGACCTTAGCTATTTTAAACTGTAAATTAGAACATTTGAGTTTGTGGCAAAGGCTCAATTCCTTTTAAAAATTACTGGCAGATAGTTTGTTTACATAGATCGATTCAATTTTGACCCATCGATCCATCACTGAGATATTGGCAACTCTGAAAGTTGATCATCAAATTTTTATACAGCCTCAACTTTAATGTGTCGTAACATGTTGGACTTTGATGTTACCTCACCAACTTACTTATATATTTTTATAGCCCCAAACATATACATGGTTAAAATGCAATACGCTTGTTTCTAGCTTAAGTTAATTAGGAGGTATTGGCAAATATTGCCATATCACCTTCTAAATTTTGAATTTAAGGGAACTAGTTCAAATCTGTTCCAACGAGTTGAACCAATTCTTTTATCTCTAGTCAAACCTTCTTTAAACAAATTCAAAAGTTAGTTAATAGGTTTAACTTATTTTTTACCGATTTTATTTTTTCCATACGTTATATCTAGAAAAAAACTATTTTATATTGTTATACTTCTTAAATTTCTAAAAGTGATAATATTTACGTTTTTAATAAATTAGATTATGAAAAATATATTGTTTAGGACGGAGTTTACGGCAGATAAAAAGGTTGCTCCGTCTGATATATAAACCTCATCATTTCTACTTTATACATGTAGATGAGAACAGTCAGGAACAAAACAAAAACTTCTTTATTTTTAAAATATTCAAAATTTTTTTCAAGTTAGAATATAATAATTAGATAAGATATAGTTTATTCCTAAAAATACACACATACAAGTTACAATGTTACAGGCAAAAAATCTCCAGATATTTTTATATTTTTTACTATATGTATGTATTATAGCAATTAGGTAGAGATTAGCTATTTGCTGTTTTGGGTATTATCCCCACCTACTTAATATTAAACGTTTACACTATTATGAATATTAATAGGTTTTAAAAGTTTACAATAAGTCAGGGATTACTAGTTAAATTTAGAAAAAACCGAGGTGCAGCAAGAAACATAATTGATTTTTCAGTTTTAAAGTTTAGCACGTATTTAAAAATAAGATTAAGCATTAACAAAAATCTACCAATATTTATATTCATTTTTTGCAAGTATAACAAGAGGGTTTATTGCACTTTGAGATGTAGGCGTCAGATAACATTTCTAATAAACTTTTTGTTAAATATGCCTATCGAGGCACTTCTTAAATCAAGTGGCAGGTTATTCCATATCTTAAGAAGTGAATATGAGGGAAGATATTCTATAATGAGCCTGTATTCAGAATGTCAATTTGATAGTTAAGAGATCTCTCCGAAGGAATTGAGTTTTAGTCACACACTCTAATTTTTAAATCCCTATATATTTGCAACTATGATATTTTAAACTTAGATTATTTCGTATATATATGGGGATTATTAAATCAGAGTTTGTGACACAGACTCAACTCCTTCCCGAGTTTTTTAAAAGTGTCGTTAAATGATGAGGTGTAAAAGCTAAAAAAGACTGTCGTTGTAATTTCAAGACTCTCTAATTAAATTGGAGTCAGACCGCTGCAGAAACCACAGATGTACCATTGAAACCATTTGTCAATAATGTTATATAAATGTGATATTATTACTACTTGAAAACAAGTTAAACCCTAGTTTTACTATTAGAAGTGGAATAATGTTGTATAAATGTGATATTATTACTAATTGAAAACGTTCCATTAATGATAGTTTTGTTTTTCTAGTGGTTATTTAACAACTTGATTTATCTAGAATCTATGAAAAATATCAGGTAGCCCTCTAAACAGTTAAAGACGACCATGATAAAAAATATGCATTCCAATAAATTAAAAAATTAAATAATTTGTAATATTTTTACAATACAAGCAACTTTGATTTATGTATATCTTTGCAACCCAATGTCGTAGACGATCTAGAATATTTGTGTTTGCGGCAAACACTCCATAGCTTAATTTCATTTAATCTTAGATCGATTATTTTAGATTGACCAGGAATAGATTTTCACCATTTTGGGCTAGTAACACACTCCTATTTCTGCTCCTTGGTAAATATATTCTGGACTAGTAACAAACTCCTTTTCCTGCTCCTTGGTAAATATATTTTGGGCTAGTAACGCACTCCTTTTTATGCTCCTTGGTAAATATATTTTGGGCTAGTAACACACTACTTTTCCTGCTCTTTGGTAAATATATTTTGGGCTAGTAACACATTACTTTTCCTGCTCCTTGGTAAATATATTTTGGGCTAGTAACTAACTACTTTTGCTGCTCCTTGGTAAATATATTTTGGGCTAGTAACACACTTCTTTTCCTGCTCCTTGGTAAATATATTTTGGGCTAGTAACACACTACTTTTCCTGCTCTTTGGTAATTATATTTTGGGCTAGTAACACACTCCTTTTTCTGCTCCTTGGTAAATATATTTTGGGCTAGTAACGCACTCCTTTTCCTGCTCCTTGCTAAATATATTTTGGGCTAGTAACACACTTCTTTTCCTGCTCCTTGGTAAATATATTTTGGGCTAGTAACACACTTCTTTTCCTGCTCCTTGTATTTTGCTTTGTCTTGGGGACCACTGTATTATCTCTCCTGGAATTATTGTGTTTTGTTCAGCTTTGTTTTGCAGAGAGATATTATCTCCTGAAATTAATATATTTTGTTCAGCTCTGTTTGAAGAGATATTATCTACTGGAATTAAAATATTTTGTTTAGCTTTGTTTGAAGAGATATTATCTCCTGGAATTAAAATATTTTGTTCAGCTTTGTTTGAAGAGATATTATCTCCTGGAATTAATATATTGTGTTCAGATGTTTTGAAGAGATATTATATCTCCTGGAATTAATATATTTTGTTCAGCTTTGTTTGAAGAGTTATTATCTCCTGGAATTTATATATTGTGTTCAGCATGTTTTGAAGAGATATTATCTCTATCCTGGAATTGGGATTATATCATGAATATATCTGAATCTGATTTACCCGTTAAACCAATACAACAGTTTGAAAACCATCTCAGGTATTAACTTTAAGTTTTATTTATCTAACAAAATAATAAAGATTTTGCTTTAAAATAATCTAATAATATAAAAAGGTGACGAAAATTGATCTGTTCAGAAATAAAGTATTTGCAAAAATTCTAATGTTCTAATTCCTATATCTTTGCAGCCCAATGTCGTATACCTTAGATATTTTAAACTATGAATACTATTAGATCAAATAGTTTAAATATAAAAGGTTTAAACCACCTTCTGCAAAGATATAGGGATTAGAAAATTTGCTTTTGTTGGACAGACTTTAAAGGTTTTAAAGTTTTAACAAAATTTTGAGAAGTTTTACACATTTCAAAACAGTTTATATAAAACATTTGCTTGTTTTACACTATGTAAAATTTTAACCCTAAGAGAAAATATTTGCCATAATCTTTAATCTACGCAAGGACTAAAATAATAAAATATATATTCCAGGAAAAATATTGGAAAGAACTTTGTTGCATTTGATCCTCATAATCAAGCAAAGTTTTTAAGATCTCATGGGTTACATAAGGTATTATTCTTTCTGTGTTTATTTATATTCTATAGTTAATCATGGGAGCCCAGCTTTGCATGTTCACTAAAATTTCTCTTTAAAAGCCAATTTACTCATGTACCGTATCTATTCAAGATATTTTACAACTGTGACCAACATGTGTACCGTATCTATTTAAGGTATTTTACAACTGTGACCAACATATGTACCGTATCTATTTAAAAAAGTAAAGTAAAAAGTAAAAGTAAAAAAATTATTATTTAACATAAAACATAAAAAATTAAGTGTTTCAGGAGAAAATATTTAAAAACCTCTAAAAGTAGAGGTTGTGGGAATAATATCCCCCAATTCAAAAAAAAAATATAAAGAATAGAAATCAAAGGAAAATGAAAGGAAAGGATAAGGAAAGTTACACATTTATTGTTTACACTATATTTAATAAAAATTGGTAGTGGATTGTTAGTATTTTCCGACGATGAACTAACAACTTTTAGAAATACAAGTTATAGATTTATTTGTAATGTTAAAAAAAAGTAAAAAAAGCTTTAAGGAGTGTGGAAGAAATATAGGTTCTATGAAAAATGGGCATTTTTTAGCATTTTTTTAATCGCGCCGTTTTTTGACATCTTTTTACATATTTTACAACTGTGACCAACATATGTATTATGTACCGTATATTTTTAAGATATTTTACAACTGTGACCAACATATGTCCCGTATCTATTTAAGATATTTTACAACTGTGACCAACATATGTACCGTATTTATTTAAGATATTTTACAACTGTGACCAGCATATGTACCGTATCTATTTAAGATATTTTACAACTGTGACCAACATATGTCCCGTATATTTTTAAGATATTTTACAACTGTGACCAGCATATGTACCGTATCGGAGAGAGATCGGTTCCAACTGGACTGCGGTGGATGGGTGGATCAGATTGGATTATACTTCACAGGAATATTATCACCAACAAATTTTGGAATTTCATGGCTCTTTCGCAAAAATTATAACTTTTTAATGTTTTCCTATTTACCTCCCAAACTTTTACCTTTCGTAGTTAATTTAACAATTTTGATTAAAGATTTACCAGACTTTTCTATTATTATTGGTCGTTTTTTTTTTAAAAAAGTTATACTTTATAATTCTAACCAACCACAAACCTTCTCTTGCGTCAGGCAATTTTTTTTTGACGTTTTTAAGATACATAAAAATCTAAATATTTATTAAAAGTTTAAGGTAAATAGAAGGGGATGTTTGAAAGGATTTCTAAAAGAAAATATTTACCGTCTAAAACAAAATAAAAACCATTTTGATTATTTGCCGTTTGCTTCTATTTGTGATCATATTGGTGATATTCCAGAGAGTTTCTTATATATCTGATCTACTCTGACTCCAGCCTAATTAGATCTCTAAACTCTATTTACTTTTACTCCGTCATGGCTCCGGAGAGCTACTTTCATACCGTTCTATTCAATTCCAGGTTAAACATACTTTTTTTTAATAATGCTAGGCTTCCTCTCGACTCTCTATTAAAGATACTGTATACTGTATCTAGGAGTTATTTCAAATAAACTCCGGTTTGAAGAGGGACTTGCTTAATTCACAACATTACCCTTGGAACCTTTATCTGATCAATACTGTGGAAGATATAGTCATTTCTATCTTTAAAAGTATAAAGATGCTGTTCTACGTTTATTCGTTTATTTTAAAGATTCTGTTCTACAATAGAAAATAAAAAATAGTTCTATTCTGTTCTACATTATAAAAAATTTAATTCTATTTAAAGATTCTGTTCTACAATAGAAAGTAAAACTTTAATTCTATTTATAGATTCTGTTCTACAATACAAAATATAAAATTAGTTCTATTTAAAAATTCTGTTCTACAATAGAAAGTAAAACTTTAATTCTATTTAAAGATTCTGTTCTACAATAGAAAATAAAAATTTAATTCTGTTTAAAGATTCTGTTCTACAATAGAAAATAGAAAATTAGTTCTATTTAAAGATTCTGTTCTACAATAGAAAATAAAACTTTAATTCTATTTAAAGATTCTGTTCTACGATAAAAAATATAAAATTAGTTCTATTTAAAAATTCTGTTCTACAATAGAAAATAAAATTTTATTCTATTTAAAGATTCTGTTCTACGATACAAAATATAAAATTAGTTCTATTTAAAAATTCTGTTCTACAATAGAAAATAAAACTTTAATTCTATTTAAAGATTCTGTTCCACAATAGAAAATAAAAATTTAATTCTATTTAAAGATTCTGTTCTACAATAGAAAATAAAAAATTAATTCTATTTAAAGAATCTGTTCTAAAATACAGAATAAAACTTTAATTCTATTTAAAGATTCTGTTCTACAATACAAAATATAAAATTAGTTCTATTTAAAAATTCTGTTCTACAATAGAAAATAAAAATTTAATTCTGTTTAAAGATTCTGTTCTACAAGAAAAAATAAAAATTTAATTCTGCTTAAAGATTCTGTTCTACAATAGAAAATAAAAATTTAATTCTATTTCAAGATTCTGTTCTGCAAGAGAAAATAAAAATTTTATTCTATTTAAAGATTCTGTTCTACAATAGAAAACAAAATTTTATTATATTCAAAGATTCTGTTCTGCAATAGAAAATAAAACTTTAATTCTAATTAAAGATTCTGTTCTACAATAGAAAATAAAACTTTAATTCTATTTAAAGATTCTGTTCTACAATAGAAATTAGAAAATAAAACTTTATTTCTATTTAAAGATTCTGTTCTACAATAGAAATTAAAACTTTAATTCTATTTAAAGATTCTGTTCTACAATACAAAATGACAACTTCCGGTTTGTGCATTGGAACAAATCAGAAGAATCCTGCTCCTGCTCTAGGTAAAAATATCAGTTTTCCATCATAGGCAAAATAGTAACAAGTGAATTGGAGACCAGCCCCCCCCCCTCCCCCACCCAACCAACATATTAAAAAATGTATGATATTACTATAATATGACAAAGTGCCATGGCTAGGACAGGCTATATAGGGAACCTAGCGTCGAGTCTTGGACAGGCTATTTGGTCGAGAGTCGGGCTGGGGCCGAGCGATGCAATTAGGTCTGACAAGGAAAATATTCTAATGTTTAGTATTTTTAAAATTGTGTGTAATTGTGTCCAAAGGTTAAAAGCTAAGAAAATACCCTCTTCAGAACCTGATATATCTGGTTTAGGAGTATGGACTGGTGTGGATGTTCTCCACTGGTTCTCCGGGTCCCGGATATTCCTCATCTGAAATCCAGGATACAACAACACAACGTGTTCTTCGCTAGAAAATTCGATTCTTTTATAGATCAAAGAAAGTTATTATTTATCACATTATATAATCTCTAATTTTTCTTTAGCCTTTTGGTGATTTAAGGGTAAATACATAGAGAATAGAATATATAGAGAGGAATTTACTGGGAAAAATTGTAAAACGGCCATTTTGTTGTACTGTTTCCATACTGCAGGTGTACTTCACATATTTATGGTATATAACCTGTTGGGCCCTGGAATATCATTTTATAGAAAATCTAAAATTATTGTTAAAAGAAAACCAAATTATGAAATAGGCTGGTTTCATAATTTAAATGATCATTTCACATAGACTCTATGCCTTCCACTTTACAAACGATGATTTTCCGTTATAACTATAAATCAAATGATGTTTTTATTCACCTAATTCATTATAAAGTTTATTTAACAGTTTAAAAAATTTGAAATTGAAATGGATAGTCTAGGAAACATACTGTATTAATGTACTCTACTGCATATAATTTGTGAACATTTACATGATTTGTACACTTTGAACTCCCTTTCAGGCTGAAAGGGACTGAAAAATTCATACCGAGAGATTCTTTTAATTCCTCTCTATATATTCTATTCTCTATGGGTAAATAGCACTTTAGATATTTTATCCAATACTATATTTGATTTCCCCAAACTGAATTAAAGAACTAATAATTCTCATCTCTAACTCTAGAGCAATACTTCCTTGACTGACAGTTTAACATGCAGTCTCTGTACCATCGGTTGATTAAAGAATTGAACTTTAACGTAGTTTTTATCTTTATTTAATCATATTAAAACATTGTAAGCGTAGTCTTAAGTGACTCTCTATGTAAAGATGACAATGTCTGATTCACAATGGTACCCTGACAGCTTTGTCAGATCAAGTGTGAATTAGTTATCAAGAGGCCGAATTTAAAGAAGGCTCAAGAATCAAGAGGCTCAAATATGGTTGGTTCCACTTAAAAATTGTATTAAATTTGTCAAGATTTAAGCTGGCGCTCAATTGAAATCGGTTTTCAATTGTGGTTTCTCTACTAAAGTGACTTCAGCATTTCTACTGCAGAGCAGCATATAGGAAACATTAGAATTAATAATTTCACATTATTGATCAGATAAAGGTTTCAACATGGTACTGTTGTGATGGGAATCGAGGGTCGCGCCCCCCTCCCCCCCTGAACCTGCAATATTTGTTTTTTTTAGGTCCTGTAAACTGGATTGCTGAGAAGCTGGAAGGAAGATTAGTATCAGAAACTAGTGTAGGCTGGGATTATTATTGGACCAATATATATCAAAACGTACGAAATTATGTGTTGATTCAATCTTATATATTCTTTATATTTTGTTTATTAGCATAGATATTAATTCAAAATACAAAGGATTAGAAATATAAAACTTACTGTGTTGTAGTAATTTTATATCTATTTTCATTTTAAAGAAATTGAGTTTTTGTCACAAACTCTGATTTTCTAATTCCTATAACTTTGCAACCCGTGTTCCTAGACCTTTGATATTTCAAACTATTAAATCTGTTAGATAAAACAATCTAAGTTTGAAATATCAAAGGCTTACATCATCAGGTTGCGAAGAAATAGGGGTTAAAAAATGCGAGTTTGTGGCAAAAACTCAATTCCTTTGTAATTTTCGACTGATAACACTTCAAATTGTATTTATTACTTTTCTTTAAAAATCTAATTCTAATGCTTTTGATCCAAAAGATTTTTATTGTATGTTTTTACTTAAATAATATATAAAAGCAACTACACAGTACAAGTGTCATAAACCCAACATCAATTCCATTCTAATCAGATTTTAATTGTTTGTTAAAATATATAGACTTTTATTTGTATGTTTACAATATATTTTTTAATCTAAATAAAATATAATCTTAGGAGGATACATCGACATTTCTGGCGGGTAGTGAGGAAATCTACGTATTTCTAGTAAATACATTTATCCAGGACAAATCAGAGTTCGGAGATTTTAAACAAATCCTAGAGGTATATTCATTAATTATCTATGTACAGGTTAACTTTGTAATAAAGTATCTATGTACAGATTAACCTTATAATAAAGTATCTATGTACAGATTAACCTTATAATAAAGTATCTATGAACAGGTTAACCTTGTAATAAAGTATATATGTACAGATTAACCTTGTAATAAAGTATCTATGTACAGGTTAACCTTGTAATAAAGTATCTATGTACAGATTAACCTTGTAATAAAGTATCTATGTACAGGTTAACCTTATAATAAAGTATCTATGAACAGGTTAACCTTGTAATAAAGTATCTATGTACAGATTAACCTTGTAATAAAAGAAAATGAGACGATTGGTGATCTTCTTCTATTCTCAACGAGTTCTGGAAAGTTCGAGATTTTAACAAGGAATCTACATGAATTTTTAATTCAAAAATGATTTTACCAATTTTTTCTAAATCTACATTTCCGTTCATAAAGGGGCAAATTTTAAAAGAAATAAGATGAAAGAATATTTAACTATGCACAATCTTATTTTTAAGTTTCGTATTTCATCGCTAAAATGTTTTAAATAACTTCAAGTACAATAATGGTGTTGCAAAAAATCACCACTAAAGAATAATTGTTTTTAAACTTTTGCGCAGATTTGATCCAGGCCTGGTTTTACTTCCTGATGGTTTACTGAAATCCTCTTTTAATAGTTTAACTATCCAGGAAAACAATTATTTATTTTTATATGCCACTTTTGAGATTTTAGTACTTAATTTCTTTAATTGAATAACTTTTAAAATATTTAAAAGTTTTGAATCTCCAGGTTGGCTCAGAATACGACAGGAAGGAAAAAATGCTTCGAGATAAATCTGGAATATTTTTCAGGTGATTTTAAAGTCTCTGATTTTTTAATGTTTTCGTCGTTGGCATTAAACATGGACACCAATATTCCGCGTAAGATTTACAGGTTAGACAGAAAAAAATATCGGTTTTTCAATAAAGTTCTTTTAAAACAGTTTTTGAACACTTTTAATTCTATTTTCTTGTTTTTTCTTAAAATAATCTTGTTGTGAAATACTGAAATGCCGAATTTTAGTTGAATTATCCAACATTTTAATAAAGAATTTAATTCTGAAAATTAAATTTAAAATATAAGCTTTAGAAATTACCTTTTCAGTCCTATCTTTAGTGGAACTTGAAAATAATAATATTAAATACTTGAGATTAAATTTTAAAAATGCCACAAGATATCTTAAACATTTGCATCAGAATCATTCAAAGGAACTGATCTAATTTTTCTAATCCCTATAGCTGTGCAACCTGATGTTGTATACCTTTTTTATAGTGTTTCCTATTATTACATTCAAGTGACAAAACTAATTAAACAAAATAATAAAAAATAAAAAAATTGGGAATAATACTGAAGTTTTACTTGACTCTACCAATCAAACTTTTTAAAACTTCAATATTTAAAGAAACATAGACTTTATTTCAAATTAGTTTAAAGAGTGATGGCACGGTCTGATTAACAAGGCACATTTTAAACCTCTTTATAACAATCATATCTATATATCCATCTAAAAATAGAAATAGTTCGTCATTGTTAAATTATCCCGATTTCCTTCTTTGTCTCAAGCTGAATTGTAAATGCGTAAGTATCTTTACCAGAGAATAATCATTTTTCAGCTAGAAAAGTGTATATTTAATTTATACTTTATCAGACAAAGTTTTAAAGAATTGTAAATCGTAAATTCCACGCTATTAATAAAGGCCCACTTGAAATAACGTCTAGAGTCCCTTAGGCAAAGCCTAGATTAGTTTAATCATCCCACCCTGCTCCCTTGTTCCAATGTTATTGTTAGTTCCGGACCTGTTCATTAACTTATGTAAATAACACGTTAGATTGAAATCTTATATATTTTCAATCATAAAGTCCAAACTAAAGAAGCTACAATGTGGCAAAGTCGTACCAGTAATATTACATAAAATTTACCACCTCCATCTGCCTATAGTTCACAGTGCATAATAAATAAATGTAAACCCCTAATTTTTTTGGTCGTTGTACAACAGTATGCACCGATAGCTTAGTTTATGTTCTTTTATAAATCCTCTCAGATTTAAAATATCTAGATCTCGACTTCCAGTTCTCATCCTTGATCTTCAACTAAAGGAGGAGAAGTTGGTGGATAGTATTCAGTTGAGGATATTTGGTTCACAGGTAGAATGTTGATGGCCGAATATATAGTTTGAAAGATACTTGTTTTTTTTTTAACTTTAAAAATATTATTTATAGATCTTGTTATATAAACTATGCAACATTTAAATAAAAAATTATGTTTACATATCTACGGTCAGAACAAATTCCCTCGTTTGATGGAAGGAATTCTATTTTTCCAATTTTTGCCAATAACTGTTACATTTTTTTCATGGTAATTTTGGGTAATGTGAGTTGCGACAAAAAAATAGACCTATTCGGTTCAGCCGTTTTGATATACAGGTTGTCTCTGAAAAAAGTGCGTTTCGAGTCCACTAAATATCGTTCAAATGTGCTAAAACGTGCATCTAGTAGGTACAATACCCACAAATGTGAGGGGTCGTCAATTAAACTGTTTTCTCTAAAATGTCGCACAGACTCCAACAGGGGATCTTCAGAGACAGCTATTAAAAACGGATCGAGACCATTTGGTCGCGAAACACCCTAAATCTTTGCAACCTGATGTTCTGAACCTTTGATATTTTAAACTGTTATCATGGTTAAATCAAATTGTCTTCATTTTAAATATTCAAGGCTTACATCATCAGGTTGCAAAGATTTGGGGATTAAAATCAGAGTTTGCACGGGTATCGTCCATCGTCCAGTTATGTTTCCTTTTATGAAAATCCAGAATGATATTCGTTTTTTTAGGATGAGATGTTCGGAAGTAAAGATTTGATACCCATAAGTTCTAGCAGACTTATCGCTTTGCAGCTTGATTCTTTTCTTCAAAAAAATATCACAGGTAAAATTTCTAAAGAATTTTTATGATTTACAATTTTACTTTTTAAGGATTAATGAGGTTAGAGGTTTGGGAGCAAGAATCCTTACTGGCCACAATCCAGTTCATTATATTTGATGAGGAATTGAACATGTAAGAATATTTGTAGTCTCGTATAGTTAAAGTTTAAAAACATATTATATCAGAAATTGTAAAAAAAAAGTAGTTTGTTGAGCTCGAACTTTTTCCAGTTTGTAATGAAGGTTATTGTAAAATAATTTGATTTTTTCTCTTCTTTTCGAGAAAACCAATACTTTTATAATTTTTATATTATTAAAGAAACAGATGTTTAGAAAGAATTTTTGATGTGATTTTTTCAGCTTTAATTAAGGCTTTCGTAACATGATTCAATTTTTTTTCTTTTGATTGAGAAAGGCTTTATAATTTTTGTCCCTATAATAAAGAGACATCTAAAAACTTTTAAAATTATTTTACTTTAGACCAAGAACAGTTCTGTTAGAGATGTTTCCATTTCTAGATTACTGCAGCATATCCTTAAACTCATTCACAAACAATTCTTCCCATTCCAAGAGGTCCTTGGTATCCTCATCCGGCTCCGCGACCTCCTCATTGACCTCATCTGGCTCCACAACCTCCTCAGTGACCGCCCAATGCTCCGAGACCTCTTGGAGCTCAAGATCTCCGGATCCAAAGTCCGATTTTCCAGTTTAAATTCATTTTTATTCTTTATAATTTATTCATTGGTCATTATTAGGTCGTCTTTAAACCCTCGTCCTTTTTAACTTAATGCACAAAACGTTCCCCTATTTTAAGGGGTTAACTCTGTCCAAAAATATTAATCAAAACTTTTATACAAGTCTGACAAAGATATCTTTTATACAACTGGGTCTTGGTGTTTTATATAGAGTTCAAATGATTTATATATATTTTTATTTGTGTTATTCTGAAAGTTTGATAATAAAATACCAACAGTTAGCGTTATAATTTTGGTAGTCACATACATATAAATCTAAAATATTTGTTTTTTTATTGTATTTTATCAGTGATAGCAATAAAGAAGAAAGTTTCTAATTTTCATACAAAATTGAATGACAACTTAAAACTCATTAAATATGACGATGTAAAAATTTCATTTTAGTGCTGTGCTATAAATACAGATCTTTTAATGGCCAACTAAATGATTTATCAAAGAACAGAGTAAGTTTACAGCTGAAAGGAAGCTGGAATGTAAATTAACAGATCAAATAATTTCCGTACAGTCGGCACTGCATGAAGTCACATCCTTTGTGGGTAACCCTGTAGAAGAAAAAAATACAGAAACTTTAACTTTTAATGCAGCGCATGGCGAGATTTTATCATTAACTGATAGACTTTTCTTGGATTATATTCTTTACTTAAAGGGACTGTAAAGGAAAAATAAAAGGAGTATAGTATGAAACCTGAGAATCTCAGGCGTTAAATGATACATATAAGACTTCTATCTGATGTTCCTTTCTCGAGAAATTGAAATAAAACTGTCAAATTTATACGAAAATTCAGATATATGCAATTCTGTATGTTTAAACAGATCATATTCAGCAAATACGAAACTAATTTAAAAACGATTATATCCCTCAGGAGCCTGATATTCTCAGGTTTGCTCCTACTATGATATTTTTATTTTTGTCTAGCATTTTTGATAGTTATAATTGATAATAATATTACAGTCTGTATAATCTGTGTTACGTCACCAGAACGTCAGCCAATGGCAGTTCAGTACTCTGGTCACGTGATTTCCATCTGTATCACATGACAACGATACTGCACTGTCATTGGCTGAAGTTCTTGTGACGTAATACAGACTATACGGACTATATGTAATTATATTATCAATTATATCTATGAAAAAGGCAAAATCAAAATTAGAAAATTATAGGAACAAAACCTGAGATATAATCGTTTTCAGATTGGTTTCGTATTTGTTGAATATGATCTGTTTAATACTACAACTTTTATAAAAAATTGCATATATAATATATATGAATTTTCGTTTGACACAGTTATATATCAATTTTTCGAGACAGGAACATCTATAGAAGTCTTATACGTATCGTTCAACGCCTGAGATTCTCAGGTTTCATATCCTATACCCCCTTTCATTTTTCCTTTACCGTCCCTTTAAAGGAAAATAAAAAATATTACATAATCACAATTACTTACAAAGATATATTCTTTTTCTAGTTTCATTATGCCAAAGCTGTTTTTTGACTTTCCAACCTAAAACAAACAAATATAGTGTCAAAATTCAAAATAGCATTTAAACAAGAAAGTTAAATGATATAATTCAAATTGAATTTATTCTAAGCTAAAACTCGTTATTAATAAAAGATAAATTATGGTCTTTTTTAATCTTAAAAAATTTCACTTTTTTCAAATTAACTCTTTTCGTGTTTTTTTTTCTTTGTTCTGGTTTTTGTTATTATGTTTACGTCAGGGTTAAAAATCAAGAAACAATACCGCGTAAAAAAAGACAAAATATTTTACCTGTACAGTAATGCCCAAATAATGTAGGATAGCATACATATCCATACCAAACCAAACAATCTAAAAGTTTTACAGAATTAAAATTTCAAACCAACCATTTAGAAAATGTAAAGAAATTATAAATAATTGGCCCCCCCCCCCCCTAACATGTACGACTTTCCAATCTCGTAACTTCTTGAGCTTTCAATTTATACCGAAGATTGACAGAAGGATGTCAAAAATCTGTTTTTTTATCAATAGCTCTTAAGCTAAAAGAGTTGTGTTTGAAAACATGTAGGATTTCAATTAAAGACGAGCTCAAAGCTTTTGCACGTGATAGCGCTGATCTTTAATAAGCTTGATTTCGATATTAACTCTGCCAACTTTAACGTGAGCAGAGGGCTCAGTTTCATTTGCCATAGTATTTTTGCCATAAATATTTTTGCCATAATTACATTTGCCATAATACATTTGCATTAAGTAAAACTTGCCATAAGTCACACTTGCCATAAGTTACACTTGCCATAAGTTACACTTGCCATAATGGTTACACTTGCTATAATTACTCTTGCCATAATTCAAATCAAATTTGGTTTGAATTAATTCATGAGCTATCAGGTTTAGGTACTCTTCTACGGGAGGAGTATTATACTATAGGACAATGTTAGCAATCCTCTCATAGTGACTCTTCACCAAGCTCTTTCTTTCAGCTCTAGAAAATATGGAGCTGAATCTGTTTTAAAACAATGAGAAAACTAAAGTTTTCATTGGAAAATTTCCCGTATTTGCAATAAAAAAGACAGATTTACATCTTTTTAAAAAATTAGAAAATTATGACAAAAGTAATTATAGCCAGTGTAATTATGGCAAGTGTAACTTATGGCAAGTGTTACTTATGGCAAAAGTATTATGTCAAGTGTAATTATGGCAAAAATATTATGGCAAATGAAGCCGAGCCATTAATTCCGACAACAAGATATCCCTGCAGAGTTCCGGCCGCGAGATATCCCTGCAGAGTTCCGGCCACGAGATATCCCTACAGAGTTCCGGCCACGAGATATCCCTGCAGAGTTCCGACTACGAGATATACCACAGAGTTCCAGCCACGTGATATACTTGCAGAGTTCCGACCACGAGATATACCTGCAGAGTTCCGGCCACGTGATATACTTGCAGAGTTCCGGCCACGAGATATACCTGCAGAGTTCCGACCACGAGATATACTTGCAGAGTTCCGACCATGAGATATACCTACAGAGTTTCGACCACGTGATATCCCTGCAGAGTTCCGACTACGAGATACACCTGCAGAGTTCCGACCATGAGATATACCTGCAGAGTTCCGACCTCGAGATATACCTGCAGAGTTCCGACCACGAGATATACCTGCAGAGTTCCGACCACGAGATATACCTGCAGAGTTCCAACCTCGAGATATACCTGCAGAGTTTCTACCACGTGACATCCCTGCAGAGTTCTGACCTCGAGATAAACCAGCAGAGTTCTGACCACGAGATATACCAGCAGAGTTCAGACCTCGAGATAAACCAGCAGAGTTCCGACCACGAGATATCCGTCGAACGAGAAAAACTGCTTAATCCAGGGATTAACAATAAACAAGTTTCGTCCTCCTTGATTTCACCTGATTGGAAGATAATAATCCTTATTCTCTAATCTTCTCTGATTTCACCTGATTGGAAAATAATAATCCTTATTCTCTAATCTTCTCTGATTTCACCTGATTGGAAAATAATAATCCTTATTCTCTAATCTTCTCTGATTTCACCTGATTGGAAAATAATAATCCTTATTCTTTAATCTTCTCTGATTTCACCTGATTGGAAGATAATAATCCTTATTTTCTAATCTTCTAAGAATCTCTCCTATCCCCTCCTCTAAGCTACAGATCCCAGTCAACAGCTGAATATCCTTATCATGGATATTAGATATTTTTCCATTCAAGGAATCATTCATCGATGCCTCCATTGTATAAAGATTTCTGGAATTTTGTCAGAAATTTTTGAATAATCTCCAAGTTCCATTACAATAAAATTTCCGAGTTTTTTTTAATTATATGTCGTACTAAATACTAACGAGATGGACAATATTTGTCCAGTTCAAACAGAAACTAACAATGGCTTCGTCATTGTTTTCATACAAGTATTTTAAGAGAGATAAAACCGTTTAAGGTGCCGTTCTTTAAGTACCGGTTTAGAAACACTAATTTTCTAAATCCAATACCAATGTCGTAACCCATAAATATTTCAAACTAGAAATTCTGTTAGATCAAATAACCGAAGTACATATGAAATATCAGGTTGCGAAATATAGAGATTAGAAATTATTAGTTTGCGGCGCAAAGTTTAAAATTTTCTAATTCCTATATCTATGCAGCTTGATGGTATATATAAACCTTTTATATTTCAAACTTAGACTTTGCGATCAAACATTTGTCGTTGTTTGAAATATCAATGGTTCAAGACCGTGTTAATGTAAAATACAGGGTGTTTTTCATAAAGTCGTTTTTTTCATTTCGTTAAAGGGAGTGTTCGCGAAAAATGAAAGGGGGTATAGGCTTAATGCGATAAAAAAGCGCTTTTGATCGCTACTATTCTTACTTCTATCTGTTGCATCTATATGGAGAAATTTGTTAAACGACTCACACCGAAGAACGTAGTGTTCATACAAATTCAGAAAGATGCAACATTCAACTCGGATCGTAAAAAAATCTATTTAATTCCCAACAAATTATCCAGATATTACAAAAAATAGTCATCGATTATTTTTCGACGCATTCGTAAATAGTTGATATTTCATAATATTTTGTATTTTTCATGATTTGAGAGTTACATTTTTTCCTGTTTCGAGGATTTTTGATAATGAAGACGACATTTTCATATTTTCCAGGAATGTTCGAAAATCCAGCGCCAGCGAAAATTAATCTAAAAAAACAAAATCAAAAATATTATGAAATATTAACTATATATGAATGCGTCGAAAAATAACCGATTACTATTGTTTGTAATATCTGAATGATTTGTTGGGAATTAAATTGATTTGTTTACGATCCGAGTTGAATGTTGCATCTTTCCGAATTTGTATGGGCGCTGCGTTCTTCCGTGTGAGTCGTTTCTAACAATTTTCTCCTTATAGACGCAACAGATAGAAGTAAGATTAGTAGTGATCAAAAGCGCTTTTTTATCGCATCAAGCCTATACCCCCTTTCATTTTTCGCGAACACTCCCTTTAATTCCCGAAAATTTATAGTTTCTAAGATTTTTTATCTTTTTTTGGTGGAATTTATCTACCTCTTAACGAGAAGAAAAATAACAATTTATAAAAACACCCTGTGTAAACATAGCAGTCTCTTGTCTGTAGTTAATAGGAACAGTCTCTTGTCTGTAGTTAATAGGTTGCTTTTCTCACACGTGTGCAAAACTAGATAATATAAGGACGAAGAATTTTTTATTGACAAAAACGTTAATTTTTCTGTTAAATATAAACAAAGTTTTAATTTTCCATTTTTTAGACGAAGGCATTATGTCTTTGCCACAAACTTAAATTTTTTAATCCCCATATCTTTGCAACCTGGATGCAGGTAAACATATAATATTTCAAACTCAGATTTTGTGATCCAACTAAATTCTTAGTTTGAAATATCAATGATCTCA